GTGTGTGTGTGTGTGTGTGTGTGTGTGTGTGTGTGTGTGTGTGTGTGTGTGTGTGTGTGTGTGTGTCATAGAAAGTTGTCATTTTTCATGCTGTAATTAAGAGGTCAGCGTTCTTGGTCCAGCATGTCATTAATTTGTAAAACCTTTTAGGTTCAGCTGGCTGTGGCAGCCATCTTGAATGTGTTTGAATCCTAAATGTGATCAGTTGGTTAGTCAGGTTAGTTAGATTAGTTGCATCTAATGATTCTTTTCTGAAGGTTTTATTAACTCATTGAGATGTTTGGGTAACAGACAGACACATGAACACACACAGGCTACRATGTTACCTTCCACATTGTTGTTGTTGGAAGTTCCAGATGAATGAATCTTCTTACTGACCTGATGGGTTCTTTAGGTCCTGAGTACCTGAAGAAGAGGGTGCTGCAGGAGGTGGTGGAGGACACCGAGAACACCGACACCGTCATGCATGAGCCCCTGCTGGCTGAGGAGGAACCCCTACTCGCTGACGAGGAGCCCCTCCCCACTCCACCCGAGAGCCCACTTCCCAATGAACTGGACGGCCTCATGCCTGGCTCGTCCCCAGGCCGCACCCCGTCCCCGAGCCCGGCCATCCCCAGCAAGGAGGACCCCAAACTCCTCGGTCCGAGGGGCTGGAATGAAGACAAATCCAGTAAAGTTGGTACCATTAAGGCAGCCTCTAAGCCCAGCAGTCGGCCCAACACCCCTTCAACATCAACTGCAGCCTCATTAGCAGCACCTGAGGGAGGCTGGGCCCCCCGCTCCGCCAGCCGTCAAAGCAACAAAAATGAGCAGGGCTCAGACCTGGAGATCAAGCCCCTGCAGAAATTAGACTCTGAAGCGAAGGCTGCAGTCTTTGTTCCAGCCCCTGTAAGAAATAGCCTCATCGCAGCAGATGAAGAAGAAGCACCGCGCCTCGCCTCTCATGTGACTCCCAAAGCTGTGACCCCCGAACCTAAGGCCGCCGAGGCAAAACCTGAGGCCGTTTCATCGGCCCACGAACCAACGCCATCCACCTCCGAGAAGAAAAAACAGTCYAGGGAGGGGAGCAGGCCGAGCAGCAGAGCAGAGACAAGACCACTACCAAAACGACAACCCAGCCCTGCCCCACCTCCAAAACCTGCACCCAGTCAGGAACCGAAAACTGTTCCAAAGCAAGTGGAAACTAAAGCCATAGCTGCCAAACCAACCCCGAAGATCGTGGTGTCGAGTAAAGAGACGAAAACAGAAGCTTCAGAACTGGAGGTAAAGTATAAAATACACACTACCTGACAGTAACGGTTATGTCTTTTTTATTAACTATTAATTATGGACTCACAGCTGGGCTGATATTTGTATTTAAAGAACTCTGAGGTACTGCTRTGTCTAATCAGAAACTTCAAATCCTGGCAGGAGCAAGGGGTTAAAAGGGACTATATCCTGAAAAGACCTCTTTTTCAGCTGTTAAATACATTTTATTGTGTATTTGAAGATTTTAAGAGGCAGAAAAGTTGAATTTAGTCTCTCCTGGTGCTGTAAAGATATTTTATATTATCTTTGGGTCAGATTTTTCAACCCGTTCAGTTTTCTCTATTTTCTATGAAGTTATCTGTAATATTACATCAAATTATTTGTGACAGAACTTCTAAATACGGTCTGGAATTATCAGCTACAACTTAGTGGTCTTCATTGTCCTCTGGCTCTGGATCAGACTCTGGTTCTGGGTCAGACTCTGGCTCCAACATGTAAGGCTGGAAGGACAAGTCTTCTCTTGTTGACGTCTTTTAATTCTTTTGTAAATAAAAACTTTCTGCGCAGCTATATAATCATAAACCCCTCTGCCAAACTGGAATGAACTGGTCTGGAAGCTGGAGGGGTGTGGGGTGTGAAGCGCCTCGTTTGAATTTAATGAGACAGCCTCAAAACGAGTTGATCTGAGACATGCCTCAGAAAAGGGGCGGGGCTTGCAAAGTTACAATAAGGAGGAATTCAGACCAAAGCATTACAGTTCCACTTTATATAGATTCTAACTGAAGGATTTAAATGTGAAAAGGAAGGATTTAAAAGCATTATATGTATAATATCTGTTTTAAAACACAAAAATATCAGCTTTATATTCTGGAGTTGATTTTTATTTATTTATGTATTTACTTTTACAGCAGTCAGGACGAACTCAAGATGTTTAATGTTTTGTCCCGTTAGTTTGTTTCCTCATAAAATAAAATAAAAAAAACATCTGTTCCTGTTTTTGAGGCCAGGAACRCTTCCCAATAAAACCTAATACCAATCCATCATACTGGATGTGTTTTAGACATGACACAAGTCAGGGAGATATGGTACAAGTACAGGTCACATGCCTGACTTGCTYAAAACTTGGGAAAAATTGTGCCATTAGCTGGTGAAAAATATTCAGAGTGTGACATACAGTATTTAATCATTACACGTGGTCTTTGTGACAAAAGTCCAGGAGTGCAGGCTGTCTTACTGTCATCACAAAGCTTCTACTGGCCAAGCGCCTGACCTAGCTCAGGTGTGCACATGAGGTACAGAATGTGTACATCTCCTATGGGTTCTTGTTATTTTTAGGTTCAGTTTACTTTATTCACACCCTTGGGCAAATTTGCTTTGCAGTGAAATTTCCTCCTCACATCTATAGCAGTAGCATAAATGTAACATACCTAACACCATACAATCATATCTTTTGTTTTTAAGCTACTACTACTATTTATAAAGCACTTTAAAACAGCCACAGCTGCAACAAAGTGCTGTACATTTAAAATCAAAACATGAAAAACAYAAAACAAAGATTAAAAACAATAAAAACAGTAAAAATAGGAATAAAACTAAAAACATGTCTCAGGCTGTGCCAAAAGCCAGGGAGTAGAAATGTGTTTTTAGAATAGTTTTAAAAGTGGACAGTGAATGGGCTTGTCTGACAGAAAGTGGAAGAATGTTCCATAATCTTGGAGCAGCAACACAAAAAGCTCTGTCACCTCTCAGCTTATGTTTGGAYCTCGGCAGCKGTTATGTTGGAGGTAAGACTCCTAACACAGACAATCATTAGCCACTGCTCTGTGGCTGGATGCATTTCTTTTGTAGTAGACTAACAATGACTGTGTCATCTGCATGTTTAATAATGGGCCTATTTTCAGTGGTGGTAGGTAGGGGTGTAAGAAAATATCGATACACTGAAATATTGCGATATTTCATTTCCCGATACTGTRTCGATATTTTAAAGCCCTGTATCGATTTTTTTATTAATGTTTAAAATGTCAACCTTCTTGCCAACCGTTCATTTTTATGTTGTAGTTCAGCCTCTGACCACTAGTTGGCAGCAGTGAGCCAGCCATTTGGC